TTTTTTTTCTAAGATTGCAGGATTCGTAAAGTTTATGCTATTTCTGAGAATTGTCTTTTATAGCTACGAGTGATTGTTACGCTCTCTTGAGGAGAATGAGGAAACGTTCTTGCTAGCTGGACTCATTCTCAGTTTATCCATTATCTCATCAAATCTCTCTCTTTAACCGGAGCGCTGGGCACTCGGACGGAGAAAGCAAGAGTTTTCCCTCGTAATATGAATGTGGGGTTTGTCGGGATGAAAGAACATCAGTGTGTGTCTGTGAATGCAGCTTGGCTAGAAAATACTCACTTTTAATAGCATGCTTGATCAAACTAGCAGAGTATATGGTGTAAAACACAGCCTAAAGCATCCAGAAACGAGGATTGCTTCCTTCAACATTTCCAGTAAACACTAGCGTACACTAGCCGTCGTCACATGCTTGTTTCTGAACGCTGACCTCAAATTCTCATTCATTATTAACAGAAATGCTCCTTATGAGCTGAACCGGAGCTCACACAAGCGTCTGCATGTTCACTGCTGATCAAATTTTAGAAACAAGTCTTTTATGCTCATCAAGGCTGCATTTATTTGATCAAAAAATACAGAAAAAATGTTTTTACAGTTTAAAACAGCTTTAAAATATAGTAAAGTGTAATTTATTCCTGTGATCAAAGCTGAGTTTTCAGCATCATTACTCCAGTCTTCAGTGTCACATAATCCTTCAGAAATCACTCTAATATGAGGATCTGATGCTCAAGAAACATTTATTATTATTATCAATGTTGAAACCAGCCGTGCTACTTTATATTTCTGTGGTAACCTGTTGTGCCTTTATTTTTTGACGATTCTTTGAAAACTCAAAAGTAACTGTTTTTTAACATTATCTTTTGATCAATTGAATGCATCCTTGCTGAATAAAGGTCGGCCTATTTTTTTTTTTTTTTATAACCTCAACCTCAAAATTGTGTACATTTCGACATTATTTTTTTGGAGTGGTGATGTGACTCGAAAGCTGAATCTGGAGTACCTGAGCTGAGTCTGGAGAGAGAAGTCTTTCTTATGTTGGGCCAGAGCCTTTATTCTGGGACTGGGAACGGCCCGCAGCGCTGAGCGGGACAGAGGCCGGATTGATTCCTGGTTTCCCCATGTCAGCGTCCTGAAGCCCATACACAAGCACAACAGACACCGCCTCACATCAGCTGGATCAGGGGGCCAAACAACTCGTTAAAGGGATAGTTTACCCCAAAACGAAAACTCTGTCAGTAATTACTCTCCCTCATGTTGTTCATCCCCGTAAGACTTTCGTTCATCTTCGGGACACAAATTAAGATATTTTTGATTAAATCTGAGAGCTGGATCACTCCTCCATGTTAGTGACATGCCCCCTGCAATTCATACATTTTATATCATATTATAATGCAACTTATTAGGACAATATATTTATAGAATAGCAAAGTAGGCTTAATCAATATACAAGACTTAACCAAACAGATATATAAAGGCTATCATGATCATTTTGCCAAAAAATGAACCATGTAGCCTATTTGTTTAGATTATAATACGTTTTATTTTTAACTTAAACAAATACAACATATAACATTCGAAACTCATCGGCTTAGACTGCATTTGAAGAAAAATAAACACAACAGTGTTCTGTAGCCTTGTGCGAACTTATTCAATAGAATTAGACTTCTAGAATGTTCTTTCCGGTGCAAATTTTTTTAAAAAAAAAATGTTTTTAGTAGTTTTTCTTATCATAGCCTACAAATGTCTTCGGAAACACATTTTACTCGATTTACTGAAGCCTGTAAAATGCATTTGCAGCTGCACAGCTTGCACATTGAGCGTCTGGCTCGCTCAGGCTGCGCTGCGGCAACTGCACATCCAATGGCGCGGGCGCCTCTGACGTGCGACCAATGAGCCAACTCTACGTCAATACACGTCAGCCCGTCAAGGTGGCGCCAAGTCCCCGAATTTGCCATTATAGCAGCGGGTCTTCGTTCATTCATCATAGTCTGTCTGACATATACACTCACCGGCCACTTTATTAGGTACCCCATGCTAGTAACGGGTTGGACCCCCTTTTGCCTTCAGAACTGCCTCAATTCTTCGTGGCATAGATTCAACAAGGTGCTGGAAGCATTCCTCAGGGAGTTTGATCCATATTGACATGATGGCATCACACAGTTGCCGCAGATTTGTCGGCTGCACATCCATGATGCGAATCTCCCGTTCCACCACATCCCAAAGATGCTCTATTGGGTTGAGATCTGGTGACTGTGGAGGCCATTTTAGTACAGTGAACTCATTGTCATGTTCAAGAAACCAATTTGAAATGATTAGAGCTTTGTGACATGGTGGAAGTAGCCATCAGAGGATGGGTACATGGTGGCCATAAAGGGATGGACATGGTCAGAAACAATGCTCAGGTAGGCCGTGGCATTTAAACGATGCCCAATTGGCACTAAGGGGCCTAAAGTGTGCCAGGAAAACATCCCCCACACCATTACACCACCACCACCAGCCTGCACAGTGGTAACAAGGCATGATGGATCCATGTTCTCATTCTGTTTACGCCAAATTCTGACTCTAACATCTGAATGTCTCAACAGAAATCGAGACTCATCAGACCAGGCAACATTTTTCCAGTCTTCAACTGTTCAATTTTGGTGAGCTCTTGCAAATTGTAGCCTCTTTTTCCTATTTGTAGTGGAGATGAGTGGTACCCGGTGGAGTCTTCTGCTGTTGTAGCCCATCCGCCTCAAGGTTGTGCGTGTTGTGGCTTCACAAATGCTTTGCTGCATACCTCGGTTGTAACGAGTGGTTATTTCAGTCACTGTTGCCCTTCTATCAGCTCGAACCAGTCTGGCCATTCTCCTCTGACCTCTGGCATCAACAAGGCATTTCCGCCCACAGAACTGCCGCTCACTGGATGTTTTTTCTTTTTCGGACCATTCTCTGTAAACCCTAGAGATGGTTGTGCGTGAAAATCCCAGTAGATTAGCAGTTTCTGAAATACTCAGACCAGCCCTTCTGGCACCAACAATCATGCCACGTTCAAAGTCACTCAAATCAACTTTCTTCCCCATACTGATGCTCGGTTTGAACTGCAGGAGATTGTCTTGACCATGTCTACATGCCTAAATGCACTGAGTTGCCGCCATGTGATTGGCTGCTTAGAAATTAAGTGTTAACGAGCAGTTGGACAGGTGTACCTAATAAAGTGGCTGGTGAGTGTATATTAGAAGTTATGCGTCTGTCATGGATTTGCACTGAATTGATTCTCAAAAATACGGAACAAAGTGCGTTCCGTATCAGTTCAATACGGAACAAGCCTTTTATGTGTCAAATACGGAACGATTCCGTATTATACGGAACGGTTGGCAACCCTACTTAAGGGATCGAAACTGGCCGGCCCAAAAGTTATTAAAGACATCGTTAAAATAGTCCGAGTGACGACAGCGGCTCAACCTTAAGTTTATCAAGCGACGAGAATACTTTCTGTGCGCAAAAAACAAACAAAAATAACGACTTTATTCAACTCTTCATTTCCTTCTCTGTGGGCCTCGAGATTTCACGTAGTGTAACAGCGCAGCGCTTCAGTGTTGTACGTCACACACAGGCTCACTATTGGCCGACGCTGGTCATGTGTGTGTGTGCGTGTGACGTACAACCCAGAAGCGCTGCGCTGTTACACTACGTGAACTCACTCGAGGCCCACAGAGAAGGAAATGAAGAGTTGAATAAAGTCGTTATTTTTTTTTGTTTTTTTGCGCACAGAAAGTATTCTCGTCGCTTGATAAACTTAAGGTTGAGCCACTGTCGTCACTCGGACCATTTTAACGATGTCTTTAATAACTTTTGGGCCGGCCAGTTTCGATCCCTTAAGAAGCCTATGGAGGAGTGATCCAGCTCTCAGATTTAATCAAAAATATCTTAATTTGTGTTCCGAAGATGAACGAAAGTCTTACGGGGTTGAACAACATGAGGGAGAGTAATTACTGACAGAGTTTTCATTTTGGGGCGAACTATCCCTTTAAAGTCTGTATTTGGCTAGTGCTGAAAAATATAAGCCTTGAGTTTATTTGTATACTCTCAGATAAAAAGGTACGTCACTGGGGCAAAAGGTACACTTTTGTCCCTTTTCGGTACTAATATGTACATTTTAGATGCTAATATGTACCATTAAGGTACCAATATGCACTCTTTAGGTACATTTTGAAAAGGTACAGCCCCAGTGACAGCTTTCGTACCTTTTTTTCTGTGGCTGAAAACAGTTAGATTAGAGGTACTGATCAAGTTAAAGTACACACATACAAAATAAAGAAAGTTTTTACCAAGGTGTTGTGGCCCAAACAGTCTTGGACTTTTTTGGTTGAGCTAGAAATGAAATCCTACAAGCAAACATGTTATCAGCCTCTTGAAAATATAAAGAATTTAATGAAAAACTAAATGTTATTCTGATATACATACCTATCCAAGTCTTACAGGAAATAAAAAAAGAGCATATATTAGCACATTTTTCAGTACAAATACCATGAGAGCATTTTTAGCTTTTGATTTAAATGCAGACTTTACCTGAGTCCATTCTGGCCCGTGTGAAGACCTCTCGGCCCAAAGGATCCTGGGAAACTAAAAGCTTACTGAATAGTCACAATAGAGACCGGTTGTTGCCAAGGAAGCTGTTATTATGGCAACCGATGTCACATGGTGCAGCTCTGTCATCAAAGAGCAAGTACAAGTGACATCATAAACACAACAGGATTCCAGCAAGCAAAGAGCAAAAAATGATGTCATCGACAAAAATATTCAGGTGTTTCAATCGATATTTAATGGTTATCAAAAGACCAATCATAAAACATATCAAATCTTCACTTGATTTCTGGCATTAAAAATCCAATTAAACACAGAAAGGTCAAGTTACAAAATTAATATACAGACCCAGACATTTGCAGTGTAGACAATCCCGACACAAATCAGTGAGTTACATTATAAACCAATCAAAAGCAAGATAGTGCTGGGCAACGATTAATCACATCCAAAATAAAAGTTTGTGCTTACATAATATATGTGTGTGTACTTTGTATAATTATTTTGTATATATGAATACACACACATGCATGTATACATTTAAGAAATATTTGCATGTATATACTGTATATGTATTTATATTATATATATAAATAACACTTTTTCTTAAATATATACATGCATGTGTGTGTTTATATATATATATTTATATACACAGTACATACACTCACATAAATTATGTAAACACTAACTTTTATTTTGGATGTGATTAATCGTTGGCCAGCACTAAAGCAAATGCATCAAACACACACAGTCTTCATGAAAGAGCTTCAGAAGGTTCATAGCACACTCACACATCCCATAATGCACAATCACACAACTGCAGCAGCAATACACTAAAAAACATCATAATCTTTGGCATCTTTTTCAAAATGCTCCGTTTTTATGTGTTAGTGTGATTAAAAGACCGAACTATCTGATCTAGTCTCTCTTCTACTACAGAAACAGGCGGTCTGGTTGTCATTTGGTGAATGTAAGCCCTGAATAACTGTGACACAGAAACTATCTTCAGTCGCACAGCCGATGGTCAGTTGTCCGCCATCATGTCGATGATGATGTCACGGGCGTCCTGCACACCGGTGTTGGCCACACTCTTTCCCTTCTTCACCCGAGTGCCGATCACACTGAGCCGGTGTCCGTCGCCAACCGTGCCCAAATCCAGCGCCTCGTACAGGTCCGTGACCCCGCGGGCCCCGGGGACGTCCTGCGGGAGAGAGAAGCTCGGGTGAGACATCAAAAAACACCATGATGAATTAGTCCAAAGAGACCAGGAACAAGGGGTGTGTGATGTGCATCGTCTATCTATGAGGATATCGTAATGATGATGTCAGATTCCAATGGTGTGACATCATCGAATATGTCATTCACTTTGGAAAAAACACAAAAAGTATAGACAAAGATAACCACCAAATGTGGCCTTTATTGTTAATCTTTGTTCGATTATGGGGAAATACTACACTCTAAAAAAATGCTGTTGGGTTGTTTCAACCCAAATTTGGGTCAAATATGGACAAACCCAGCCGTTGGGTTAAATTTTAAATTATATTTTTAACCACACGTATGGGTTTGTCCATATTTGACCCAAAATGGGTTAAAACAACCCAGCATTTTTCATAAACAAAAATGGGCTAAAGGAAAACCCAACTTTTAGTTATTTTAGATAGATATGAAAAATTATATTGAGTCATCACTACTTACTTGGGTTGAAAAATAGTAAAGCAAAACGCACTAGGTCTAAGTGAAGCTTTTATACTATTTATATGATGATCTCATACCTCTTCTTTTTTCTGTATATATTATTTTCTTAATTTTTTACTTGTATTGTTATTTTATATATTACACTGTATATTTTCTTTTCCTATTTGTTGTAGTTGATATTTGATCGATATTTGAGATTTTGATACTATATGTTGGACTATTGTCATGTTTATTATTTGTAATATTACTGGCATTTAATTAAAACATTTTTGAATGCTTTCACTGTGTGATAAAGCCTAGAAGACTGCATTTAAAATGCCTCCTAAAAAAAAAAAAACCCTGTATGGGATTTTGGCCATTTCACCGGAGCAAGTGTGTTTTTCCTGAATATCAGCACAATTGAAAAATTTTATACAGATTTTATACTACAGTTAATATTGTGACTTATATTTTAGACAGTATTGTCAGTACAGGCTCTATTTCGCCAACGAAGTGTCTGAATTCCTGAATGAATCAGCGTCTTTGAACGAATCTTGGAATGAATGAATGACTTATGCTGCGTCTCAATTCGCCTGCTTATACTACGCCCTAAAAGTATGTACTCTTTTTGTGAAGAAAAAGTAGATACTTCTGAGTGTGTAGCAGAAGAGTACACAAGCTTTGGGACAAACTATCACGTCAAACAACTGCGTCTTTAACGGTTGCTCTCTGTCGATTCTGTCACAGTAAACTGACCTGTCAATCATCTTATCACAGTAAACTGACCTGTCAATCATCTTATCACAGTAAACTGACCTGTCAATCATCTTATCACAGTAAACTGACCTGTCAATCATCTTATCACAGTAAACTGACCTGTCAATCATCTTATCACAGTAAACTGACCTGTCAATCATCTTATCACAGTAAACTGCCCCGTCAATCATCTTGTCACAGTAAACTGACCTGTCAATCATCTTATCACAGTAAACTGACCTGTCAATCATCTTATCACAGTAAACTGGCCTGTCAATCATCTTATTACAGTAAACTGACCTGTCAATCATCTTATCACACAGTAAACTGATCTTGTCACAATAAACTGGCCTGTCAATCATCTTTGCACAGTAAACTGACCCGTCAATCATCTTATCACAGTAAACTGACCTGTCAATCATCTTATCACAGTAAACTGACCTGTCAATCATCTTTGCACAGTAAACTGACCTGTCAATCATCTTATCACAGTAAACTGACCTGTCAATCATCTTTACTGTCAATCATCTTATCACAGTAAACTGACCTGTCAATCATCTTGTCACACAGTAAACTGACCCGTCAATCATCTTATCACACAGTAAACTGACCTGTCAATCATCTTATCACAGTAAACTGACCTGTCAATCATCTTATCACAGTAAACTGACCTGTCAATCATCTTATCACAGTAAACTGACCTGTCAATCATCTTTACTGTCAATCATCTTATCACAGTAAACTGACCTGTCAATCATCTTATCACAGTAAACTGACCTGTCAATCATCTTATCACAGTAAACTGACCTGTCAATCATCTTTACTGTCAATCATCTTATCACAGTAAACTGACCTGTCAATCATATTCATGACTGACTCTCCTCATATTCATGCATAATGATACATTTGGCCAAACTGATCTTTATAAAAGTCCATCGTTATTGCAGATGGAATATAACACAGATAACATTACATCAAGATTTTAATCAGCTTAAATGTTGATTATTAGTCACTCAAACCTTTATCTGAACCGTCGGTCGCGCACATCTGCCATGTTTCGTAGTTTTCACTTTTTACTCGTGTTTGTAGTTCTGAACTGAATCCTCATCCAAAGCTCAATGGGTTGTGGGTAATATTAGCTGTTATAATGAGCACAAAGCCACACTTTAAAAATCCACCGGAAATAGTAGACCATCCGGGGACTTCTGACACACTCTTTTCAACACACTATGGTTTGGGACACACTTATTTGAATCTCACACACTGTTTAGGATGGATAGTGTGGACATCGAGACGCAGGGTTACTCAGTAATGCAGTGCTGCCACCTAGTGGTGGCTTTAGTATCAGTTCATTAAAGTATACATTTATATATAAATTTAATATACGCGGATCTATGAATATGCTAATTAGCCCCGCCTCCACTCACTCACAGCCGCTCAGAGATCCACTCGGTCGACTTACTGAGGTAAACTCTGCACAATGGTCTCGCTCTTTACATCGCCGGACACATAACGTGATAAATATGATTAGCCTTTAGTTTGACTATATTATCAAACATCTAATAATGTGTTGCTAATGTTACAAACCCATGTTCCCGTCCGCATCTCAGAGTCAGACGGCTGCCGTCTAACAATCATCAGAAACACACGTCATATTGTTCATCATAACACCGTAATATACATCATACATCCGCTTTATTGCTAAATCTACCCGATATTTGAGATCAACAGAACAATATACCAGGATAAGCTGCTTCTCTCCAGACTCCCCTGCTAGTTCACTGTTAATGATATGCTAAAGCCCGCCGGCACGGTGATCTGATTGGTTACAAGCTCGTTTGTGACGTCAGAAACACCAGCGATTTCAAACCGTGTTTTTGAGACTGTCTTTGGTTCACTGGAGAAAATAATCAGCAATGCTGTTGACTTATGAACTTACACACGGTTTGTATTAAAGCGTATTAAAAACACCACATAGACACATAAACAGGGCTTGAAATTAAAAATCAACTGTGACATTATATTTACTCACTTTGCTGGGGAAGTTCGTGTAAGCCGAATCTGCACAGATTTAGCGTAAATAGTCAACTCGTGAGTCCTCATGATATATTAAATACAGCGTATTGCACAGAATCTGCTCATTTCTGGCTTACTTGAACACACACGTCACTACGCAACAAATAACGGCGCGCTTGTTCACTTGCATTGAAGTAATAGCGAAGATTAAAAAGCATTTGGTTAGCAGAAAAGACAGTTATTTTCCAAAATCCTACTTTTTTAAATGTTCTTTGTGTGGTATAGATCGGTCCACCTAAAAATAAATTATTGGTGAAAAGGATGAGGATGAACGAGGAAGAGTGGAGATGCTGGATGACAGGATTTAGTTTGAATTAGAAATTAATGTATGAAATCCCAATTTTATAATATATATATATATATATATTTTTTTTTTTTAAGCTGTGACGTAGTTAATATGCTTAATTTCTTTTTTTCTTTCTTGTTTTTGGCTAGTAGAAGTTCTGAATGGCCAGTAACTAAATCATTTTGCAGCCAAATTGGCAGCTGAGTGAGAAAGTCGATTTCAAACCCTGCATATAAACAACATTAAAAGCTTGATTTCCCCCACCGGGAGAGTTTAATCTCACGTCTGAGCAGCCAGATGGCCCTGACACACTCGATCAGAGAGGATTAGTGTGTGTTCACCTGTTTGTTGGCGAGCAGCACTAGAGGAAGGCAGGGGTCGGCCGACAGGAGCTGATGGAGGAGGCGTTTGGCCAGAGGGAATCGCTCCGGGTCAGACGAGTCCACCACGAACACCATCACACGCGCTTTCCCCAGATACATCCGCCAGTAATCACGCAGCTTCTCTGTGCCTCCAACTGCACGACACACACACACACACACTAAATACTAGGGGTGTAACGAAACCCTCATGTCACGATTCGATACATATTACGATACGATACGATATTATTGCGAGACACATGATAAAAGGTTAACAAAAAATGGACTTGATTAAAATGCTAAATTTGGTATTACACTGGGGTGTAAATGAATAGGCTTGGACTTGGTCCTGATAACCCAAAGCACAGGACAATAGAGACACCAGAATACACATATTCATGATTCTGAAGATGAAAACAGAATTATTATAGATGAATATGCTTGATCTCTGTCACTGGCTAGATATATTTAAAATAAAGTCGGCCACTTTTTACTGGTGACATTTGCCATTATCAGGACCCACAAATATTCCCCCATTGCATTATTATACATTATATTCAACATAGTAGTTTAATGTAGTACTGAAACTAAAACTGAGAAAATATAAAAAATGTTCTCACACAGTACTTTTCATTTTGGGTGAACTATATACAAATATTGCCACTATCCCCGATACATATTTATGCATTTCTGTATTGCGATGTATTGAGACACGATATATTGTTACACCCCTACTAAATACTAATGCTATTACCCGTTTGAATAGCATGTTTTATGCACAGCTAACATCAACATTGCATTTATTTGATCAGTGCATGAGTTCAAACCCATGACTTTGATGTTGCAAGCATCATGCTACCGTCTCAGCCACGGGAACATGCGTGAGCTATATTTACTCTCTAAGAACTCGATCTGAAGCTCTTCCTTGTTGATGGAGACGGCGTTGAAGCCCTGAGTGGGACACACGTCTTGTTCCAGGCTGCCTGTGGCGAAACAGTGCAGTAAACTGGTCTTTCCCGCCCCGTCCAGACCCAAAACCAGCACCTGAGTACCTGCCGTCCTGGGCTAAACACACAGAGGACACAGAAAACACATCAGGACACAGAAAACAGCATGATGGGAGAGTAAAGCTGCCTCAAAGGTCACAGGAAGAGACGGATTACACTAAAACTACACTGAATTAATACCAAACAATGCACGCACATTTATTTTTTTAATGAACTTTCAGGTAACACTTTAACATATTTAAAAAAATGTCATGAAGAAGCATTACATAAACCAAAGTCATTATTTTAATGACTTTGGTAACACTTTATTTTAAGGTGTTACAGTGTAATTATACATTTAGGTACTGAGTAATATTAATAAACTACATGTACTTACTATAGGGTGGGTTTATTGCATGTAATTATGCCTAATTTATAAATGACTGTAGTAAAAACATGTAACGTGTTACAAGGACACTGTCAAATAAAGTAATAGCTTGACTTTTATTAAAACATTAATCACTGTTGCATGAGATTTCGTAATATTTTGCATGTTCGTTCACCATCTGTTATAATTATGTTGAAGAATTACTATTAACATTTCTAAAAAAAATTACTATCATAATAATACTATCTGGAACTATTTAAGCATTGCACATTTAGGAAAATATTAATTAAAAGATGAATGGTATTTTTAACCATTTGCATCTAAAATTATAAATTACAACGTTAACGAATTATTGACATTTAAAAAAAAAAATTAAACAAAGTTCCTTAATATTATATGAGACTATTTGCATGCACTGAAAGTATCATTTTAAGCATTACATATTATGATAAAGTTTATAAATGAACATTAACATTAGAGAAAATCTTAATTAAAAGTTGCATGAGGTTTTTAACTGTTTGCATCTACCTTAAGGATTTGCTATGCATTATATAATAATTGAATATTAGTATGAGGATATAGAATGTGCATGATCTTTTAAGCATTACAATATAATTTATGTAAACTGGACTGTCACATTGAGGCCTCGCGTGCAACCAAAACACACCACAGCGAAAGTCCAAGAGGATAAACTGGATCGAAACCAACAAACCTCTGATATTATAGGCGTCTTTTGCGCAGTTTCGGTCTTGGTCGCTTTATGCACGTGTTCTTTTTTCTCGTCCTTCACTTTTTTCTTGGGTTGTTGTGTTTGATGCATCAGATAGCAGAAAGCGCACGCGACTCCTCCCGTGAGCGCGAGCGCGGCGCCCATCATCCCGATCTCGCGCGCGCCGGGCATATTCACGCTCAACTCAAGCCCACAATATCAAATCAAGTTCAAATGTAAACAAACGCGATACTTTTATCACACGCACACGGGCATGATGCGCCACACAAAGGCCTCGCTGCGGCTCCACAAGTGGATTAGAAACTCTACAAGTGGATATTTCCGGGGAGCGGAAATAGCGAGAGCAAGGAATAGAATTATCAGCACAGAAAGCAATCGAATAAAAGCGCTTAATGAAGTTTATTCGTCGTCCTTGCACAAACGGAAAGGTGCAATCCGAGCTTTTGCGCTTCCTGGAGATCAACAACAAAAAGTCTCGTGAGGTAATCACAACAAACCGCGAGAGATTCTGATCTTAAAGTGTCTCTGCGGGGAGTCTGAGCTCAAATAATCCCCTGAGACGAACCTGCCAACGAGAGGAAATCTTTTCCATTTCATTTTAAAGGTCCACACTAGTCGGCGGTGACATGTTTGATTCAAGTATTGCGTGATCGTTCCAGCAGAGGGCGCTAGAATACAGAGCGAATTAATGAATGCGCAGCAGCAGCAGCGCCCTCTGCTGGTGAAATATAGCACTCACATAGATATTCAAGACAGTGACTGTAGAAAATGGTGTATAATTTAATTTTTTTTTTTATTCATCTTTTTGCCTCTATCATATACATAAATGTAAACTTATTATTATTACACGGCTTGGTTGAATTCTAATGTAGAACGCGGTCTGTTATTTCTTGATAAGTAAAACAGTAAACACACCGTTGCCATGAAAAACAGAGCGTTGCCATGGACGCAGTTCAGAGACGGAACGGACTATTTTCTTTAGCGGAAGCAACACAATCGTTTTTAAATCAATAAACTCCTTTTTAAATCAATATTTTGTGTAAAATTATCGATTTATTTGGTAGGTAGCCATGTAATAAGCGGGATAATGTAATCTCTACATTATCCCTTACGTAAAATACCTGGCTTTAAGGTGTTAATGTAGGAAATCAGACTTTACAAAATCTCTGTGCTCACTAAAAAAAATCCAAGCATTTGTTCTTCAGAAATAGATATGCATGTAGGACTACAGTTAGCATGAAACAGTTTCTGTAAGTAATAAATCTACTGTTTTTTTTTAAATGCAAAAGCCATTAAAGTTTCTCTATTTGATGCTGCATCACCACACACAGTTATGAATTATGATAGATTAATTTCTCCTTGCTGGTCAGGATGGACAAATCACAAATATTTGTGAGTACAGGATAAGCAAACTTATTTATTGTTTTAAATATCCCAACCTTTGGAATTTATAATTAAGCAAATATACTTGGTGCACAATTGTGTTTGCAATTATGGCAACAGATCTTTAAGGGGTTTAAATAGAAAATAGAAAACCACTAAAAGTTCATTGTTGTTTTTTTCTTCCTTTATTAAGACATAACACTGGAGATTAGTTTCATGATCTATGACTGAGGATAGTTTGTTTAAAATTATTAGTGTTGAGCACAGGATTTAAAAAATAAATCTCAACTTTGCATAAACAGCCTCTTATTGTGACACAAAGTAGCTTTATTAAGCATTCATGTATCAAGCAAAGGACAAAAAATGAACAGAAACATCATCCAGGTTCAGAAAGAAAGAAAATAAACTGAAAAATGCCCTAGAGACTCTTGAACATTGATAGTTATGCATGTACAGAGTGAATTGGATGGTTAGAAAATGCATTGAAAAAAGGATTCCTGTTTATTTCACACGACATAGTCGCTTAAATCACATTCCTCCGTCCTTCACGATTTAATGACTGAAACATTTCATCCTCCAGGCCTCTGGATCTTCATAATCTTCATTATTACAACGGTTTTCAGTGTTTCAAAACCAACAAGCAAACGGAGCGAGACAAAAGCCAGATCAATCGTTTCGTCTCTCTCTCTCTCTCTACCATGCTCCCTTCCCTCCTTTCTTCTTCTTCTGCGGGGCCTTTTTTCGAGCAGCTGCGGGCGCAGTGGGTTTCTGTTGTCGTGGAGGAACCGCGTTGCTGGAGACGCTGCCGGATCCTGAGCCGGGTCGAGGTGAGGTGGGCGGACTGCTGGCAGTCTTACTGGCGTCACTGAAATACACACAAAATACATACAACTGTGACGGATGTTGCTTCCGGTGCATTAAATAAAACTTAAAAAAAAGGGTAAGTCAGTGAATTGCACTGGTACTGTATGCATGCAAAGTTATTATAGTCAACTAAATCTATTAAAAAAAAATTAAGTGCCCCTATTATGCTTTTTTAAAGGTTGTTTTAGAGTCTCCTACAACATGTTTACATGCATTCAAGGTTAAAAAAACCACTATTTTCCTCATTATATCCACTGCAGCATCAGCTCTTTCCTCTCAGTGTCTGAAACGCTTCGATCACGGATTCAGTCTCTCTAAGCCCCGCCTCTCTGAGAGCTGCTCTGCTGTGATTGGTCGGATGGCCCAGTCTGCTGTGATTGGTCAAAAAGCAAACGCTCATTATCATATCTGAATCTCAGCTCTTGATCAGTGATACGAACAGTAACGATGGCGTGTGTTTTACCGTATCAATCTCATCAAAGTGGATTTGCTTTGTCAGCAGAAAACAGCGTCTTCTCGACATGAACAACACGAACCAAACTCTTCCAGTCTCAGATACACTACAGTGTTTGAGGGCGGGGCTAAGAGACACTGTCAGCCAATCAAGACCAGAGACGGACATTATGCAAATTAGTTGTAAGTTCGAGCAGGAAGTGAGACTGGAATTACTGACGACTCGTTTCAGTTCAGAATCGATTCTTTCTTTAGTGACACAATAACTCCATTTATCTGCACTTCTTTGACCTTTGAAACTTTTTTATATTCACAAACAGCTGTATTACACACGGAATACCCCGAAAAAAGCATAATATAGGGGCAACTTTAAATAGTTTTAACTAGTTGGCAAGACAACATTTTTCATTTTAATTTGGTTGAACGTGATGTACTAAAATAACTAAAACTGAAATAAGACATTTAAAAAACAAATTCACAAAACTACTAAAACGGAAAAATAAACATTAATAGTATCGCAATGATACTAAACTAACTTTCTGTAAAGCTGCTTCGAAACGATGTGTATTGGGAAAAGCGCTATACAAATAAATGTCAATTAGATAGATAGAGAGATAGAGATAAAGAGAGATAGATAGAGATAGAGATAAAGAGAGATAGATAGATAGATAGAGAAAGAGATAGGGAGATAGATAGAGATAAAGAGAGATAGATAGATAGAGATAGATAGAGAGATATAGATAAAGAGAGATAGATAGATAGATAGATAGATAGATAGATAGATAGATAGAGAAAGAGATAGAGAGATAGATAGAGATAAAGAGAGATAGATAGATATAGAGATAGAGATAAAGAGATAGCTAGATAGATAGAGAGATAGAGATAAAGATAGATAGATAGATAGATAGATAGATAGAGAGATATAGAGATAGATAGATAGAGATAAAGAGAGATATAGAGATAGATATAGAGATAAAGAGAGATAGATAGATAGATAGATAGATAGATAGATAGATAGATAGATAGAGATAAAGAGAGTAGATAGATAGATAGAGATAAAGAGAGATATAGAGATAGATAGATAGAGAAAGAGATAGGGAGATAGATAGAGATAAAGATAGATAGATAGGGAGATAGATAGAGATAAAGATAGATAGATAGATAGATAGATAGATAGATAGATAGATAGATAGATAGATAGATAGATAGATAGATAGATAGATAGATAGATAGATAGATAGAGAAAGAGATAGAGATATAGATAGATAGAGATAAAGAGAGATAGATAGATAGATAGATAGAGAGAGAGAGATAGATAGATAGATAGAGAGATAGAGAGATAGAGAGATAGATAGATAGATAGATAGATAGAGAGATAGAGAGATAGAGAGATAGAGAGATAGAGAGATAGATAGAGATAAAGATAGATAGATAGGGAGATAGATAGAGATAAAGATAGATAGATAGATAGATAGATAGATAGATAGATAGATAGATAGATAGAGAAAGAGATAGAGATATAGATAGATAGAGATAAAGAGAGATAGAGAGATAGAGAGATAGAGAGATAGAGAGATAGAGAGAGAGAGAGAGAGAGAGAGAGAGAGAGAGAGATAGATAGATAGATAGAGATAAAGAGAGATAGATAGAGATAGATAGATAGAGATAGATAGATAGATAGAGATAAAGAGAGATAGATAGAGATAGATAGATAGAGATAGATAGATAGATAGAGATAAAGAGAGATATAGAGATAGATAGATAGAGAGATAGATAGATAGAGATAAGAGATATAGAGATAGATAGATAGAGAGATAGATAGATAGAGATAAAGAGATAGATAGAGAGATAGAGATAAAGAGAGATAGATAGATAGAGAGATAGAGATAAAGAGAGATAGAGATAAAGAGAGATAGATAGATAGAGAGACTGAAGTAGAACAGATAAAGATCTTACTAGGAGAGGGACAGACCGCAACACTGGCTGCCAGATACGTGTGTGTGTGCCACAGCCTGAGAGACAGCAGGTGAATGTGTGTGTGTGTGTGTGTGTGTGTGACCTCAGGGTGTTTCCCTACTGCCCACCACAGTGACTTCAGTAATGTGTGTGTGTTTATGTATGTTAAAACACTGTGGTATCAAAATGTTCACAGATATTCTAATCTGTTACACGGTTCACTTGTACAATTAATTTAATTTGTACATTTAAATTTAATTTATGTTATAATACTCAAGTATTTTGATGTCTTTATAATTTTCCTATGTATTCCAAGCTTTGGCAATATTGTAATATATACAGTCATGCCAATAAAGCAATTTGAATTGAATTGAGATAGAGATAAAGAGAGATAGGTTTTATTTAATGCCACATCAAGGCTATTTTCATGGCAAAAATTAAATTACAAAAAAAATACAAATATCATATAAATACAATAAAACCAAGCAAACAAACAAGTCATATTGGACTTGTTTTTAAATTAACATATGATAAAAAAATCCAAACCCTTTTCAGGCATAATCTTACTAAATAAGTCCTTAAGTGAAATAACTTCATAAAAGAGGAATTGAATTTGACATGTAAACTGATTTTGTATATTTCTGAAATGCATAACAGACACTCGAAATTGTAATGTGGACTCATGCACTTTCTGTAAAGCTGCTTTGAAACGATGTGCATTGTGAAAAGCGCTATATAAATAAACGTGAGCTGAATTGGACGTGTGAACTGAACTCACAGCTCGGCAGAAGCTCCAGAGGTGGTTCCCTGTGTGCCGCGGCCGACCTGCTCCTTCTTCTTGCCCTTCTTCTTCCCACGATAATACGAGCGCTCTCGCATGGGCAACCAGCGCTCCGGGTCAGGGCTCGAGTTGGGCTCGTAGTTCTTCGGCAGCTTACCTGAACACAAAACTGATTACGAACTGGACCACTTCTCGTGCTAATAAAATAAGACGTCAGCAGCAAACACACC